CGGCCGCCCGGGCTGCGGCAGAGAACACCCCACGCTCCCCCCACCCCTCCCGCTGCCGGCACCTCCGCGGGGTGACGCTCGCCTCCTGCCCCGGCCCGCGCTGCCGCCGCCCCGCTGGAGCGCCCCGGCCACCGCCGCTGTCCCTGCCCGGGCCCGGGTCATGGCGGGGCCGCCGCCGGGGCCGCCACGTGACACCTTCCCGGGAAAACATTTCCCGCCCCCGGGCGGCCCCGCCCCCTGCCCGCTCCAGCCAATCGGAGGGAGGCGCGGGGAGGGGCTCGCGCCCTCCCGCCCTCAGCGCGCGCCGTCAGGGCGGGGCCTCCCGGCGCGCGACAGCCAATCAGCGAGCCGCGAGCAGAATGGGGCGGGGCCCGCCCCTTCTCCCGCCGGCCCGAGCGCCCGCATGGCGAAGGACCCCGGGGAAGCGTCCGAGCCGAACGCCGGTTCGCTTGACCCCAAGTTTCGGTTGAAAACGGATTTTGGAAACGGCAGAAAATCCCCCCCAGGGCCGGCAGGGCCGCGCGCCCGCCGCGCGGGAGGGCGGCGCGGGGCCGGCGGGGCCGAGGGCGGGCGGGCGGCGAGGCGGGCGCGGCGGCGGAGGCCCGGGCCCTGCGCGGGCGCGGCCATGGCGGGCGCGGCGCGGGTGCCGGTGGTGGACGTGCAGAGCGACAACCTGGGCGAGCTGTGGCCGTCGCTGCTGCTGGCGCTGCGCTCCGCCACCTTCGTGGCCGTGGACACGGTGAGCGGGGCCGGGGGCGCCGCCGGGACGCGGCCGGGGCGGCGGGGCCGCTGACGGTGTCTGTGTCTCCCCGCAGGAGCTGAGCGGCCTCGGCGCCAGGAAGTTGCTGCTGAGCCCGTGAGTGCCCCGCGGGACGGGGGTTGGGGTTGGGGCGCGTCCCTCGGTGCCGGGGGCTCACGGCCCGCTGTCCGTCCGTGCCGCAGGTGCATCGAGGAGCGCTACAAGGCCGTCTGCAGCGCCGCCAGGACGCGCTCGGTGCTGTCCCTCGGCCTCGCCTGCTTCAAGCAGCTCCCGGAGAAGGTGCGTCCGCGGGCCGGTCGCTGCTGTTCCCGCCTTCCCCGGGCACAGCCCCGCCGGGCTGTTCCCACACCCCTGTGACCGTGTCCCCCCGCAGTCCGAGAACACGTACCTGTGCCAGATCTACAACCTGACGCTGCTCTGCATGGAGGATTACGTGGTGGAGCCCCAGTCGGTGCAGTTCCTGGTGCAGCACGGCTTCGACTTCAACAAGCAGTACTCCCAGGGGATCCCGTACCACAAGGGCAATGACAAGGTACAAACCCAGCTCAGGCTGCTGGGAGGGCACTGGCTGCCTCTGCTGCCGAGTGAGGATGGGCTCACCCTGCGGCCCTGAGTGCAGCATTGTCCCTCTCCCCTCCCTGCTGCTTCACACCCAGGCTGTCGCTCGGTGCAGCTGCTTCTCCAAGTATTTGTGCCTGTGTTTGTTCAGAGCAGGTCACAGCTGTGGGCAGTGTGGTGCTGGCACGGGCTCTGAGGGCTCCCCAGGGTGCTGGCAGGTCGGGGTGCCGAGGCTCCCTGACTGATCCTTCCTCCTGCAGGGCAACGAGAGCCAGAGCCAGGGTGTGCGGACGCTTTTCCTGGAGCTCATCCGGGCGAGGAAGCCGCTCGTTCTCCACAACGGCCTGATTGACCTGGTGTTCCTGTACCAGTGCTTCTACGCCCACCTCCCCGAGAGCCTGGGCACCTTCACTGCCGACCTCTCCGAGATGTTCCCGGCGGGAATTTACGACACCAAATACGCTTCGGAGTTTGAGACGCGCTTTGTGGCGTCCTACCTCGAGTACGCCTACAAGAAGTGGTGAGCAGCACTCTGCTACTTGGAGCTCACGGGGGGAAGTCACTGTGTATTTGTTTTTCCAGGCAAGGGGGGCTGTGTCCTTTCACTGTCCCACTGCCACAGCGACTTGATCTGAGAACTAATTGAGTCACTGCCTGGCTCTGGTCCAGCAGTGTCACCGGGTCACAGCAGGAACACACATCCCCTAAGAACTCAGAGAGCAAATGAAACCAGGGCTGCCCTGCAGGGTCTGCTGGTTATGACTGTGTTTTGTGAGGGATGCTGCAGTTAAAGGGTGGGTGCTCCCTGCACATCCTGATGCTGACCAGCTCTGTCACACACACCTGCAGCCTGCTCCAAATCCCATCACTGCCTTCCAGGCGAGGGTTGTGCTCTTGTTCAGGACACCCATCTGTGCTTTACAGTCTGGCCTCACATTCTGCAGTCCCCACGCAATCTAAACAAGCCCCTGGCTGTGATATACAGCCCCTGGAATCTCCAGAAAGCTCAGGTCATGCTCTGTGTAGAGGAGAAATAGTATTTTTAGTGACTGTTTTATCTCAGGAAATACCACTTTGACAGGTCTGAAAACATTCAAGATGGCTGTTCCCAAAACATGAGAGTGCTTTGTTTTGACAAGATAAAAATACTTTTTAAACTGACCTCTTAAATGTCTTAACCCACAATTCTATTTTCATGGAGCCTTCCAGAGGTTTTGGGCCTTTAAATCACCTCTTGGGACAAAACAGAGGTCAGATTCTTTTCTCATAAGATGGAAACCCTTTCCTTTTCTGCACTGCCCAGGTTCAGCCTGCCTGGGTGGTGATGCCTCAATTTGGGGTGTTTTTTCTTTGTCCATTAACAGCATGGAGACTAACAGATATGTTGGTGCCCTTAGCATTTAAAAATCAAACTAGGTGCCACCTTCTCCCATAGCTTCACCAGAGACACCGTTTTCCCTGTCTGTATATTAAGAAAAAACAACCTTTAAATCAGCACAGAAGCATCTACTTACTCAAGCTGCTCTCCCAGGACTGAATTTCTTTCCAGCAAGCAGTGGAGCTCAGGGGCAGGAAACTCGTGGAGCTGGGACTCGGTGGAGAGCAGGGAGTTGGCGCTGGCTCCGAGCCGTGGTCCTTCAGTGAGCTCCTCACAGTAACTGTGTGCTCCTGTTTGTTCCAGCAAGAGGGAGAACTCCAAGCTGAAGGACTCCAGTGGGCAGCACCTCACTGTGGAGTTCTGCAACTACCCTGCCAACGTGTCCCGGTACATCGACTATCGCTGCTGCTCCCTGGAAGAGGAAAGCCACAACACGGGAGAGGGGAACAAGGTGCCCGTCTGTGAGAAATTCTCGGTGAGTAACCTGGATCCCAGCTTCCTTCGTGGCTCCGTGGAAAGAGGCACACCTGGCCAGAGGAGGAGGTGGCAGGGAAGCACGTGGGAACTTCCCCTCGCTTGTTTCACAGCAGAAGGAACATTTTGGAGCTTCGGGTGGCTTCCTGACAGACAGGGCAATAGCACAGTCCGCTTGGGAGGTGGGGAATTCTACAGGCTGTGTTAGATGGAAAGATTCAGAAGGAGATTCTATTGCCCTAAACAGTGGGATGGTGTGAGTTACAGTACCCATTGCTTTTGGGGGAGGGATGCAAGTTCTGTATTAGTTTGGCTTGTCCCTCAAGCAAGAGGTGCCACCTCTACCCTCCCCTGTATCTTGATTAGACATAAGAAAAATGTTACCTGTCTGCAGCTTCTCTCTCTCTCTCTCTCCTTTAGGCCTATGGTTGGTGTCCAAAAGGAGTGAAGTGTCCACAGTCTCATAACATCGATCTCATCATTGATGAGGACGACAAGCTCTGGGAGAAGCGAAAGAAACGGAAGCACAGATGGAAGCAGCGGAAGAACACAAAAGCATCTGCAAAGGCGTTCCTGGAGGAAAGCTCTGGGGAAAAAATGGAGCAAGCTGAGAACGGGGAGGAGGGACCACCACAGAAACAGAGCTGCTATGGGCCTGCAGCTGCTACAGAGCTGGCAGAGATTGCACCCAATGGAGAGGGCAGGCCCCTGGAGGAGAACTCCATGGATGTGGAAACAGAGGTCAGCTCAAACACCAGCACACAGTGGGAAGAGAATCTGGGGAGCACTGAGGGAACTGCTGCCCAGGTAGCTGCTGCCCTGAGCCTTTCTGCCAAGGGCAGTGCCTCTGACAGTGACCAAGTGGAGACGAAGTCAGAGGTTCCTGCTGGGTTGGGCTCAGCCAGTCACCCAGACATCCCCGAGACTGAAGCAGCAGGTGCTGCAGGAAAGGAAAAGGAAGCCCGTGTCCCTCCTTCCCAGGGGGGCACACACCGAGCTGGCTTTGATGCCTTCATGACTGGCTATATCATGGCTTACGTCTGGATGCTCAAGCAAGGGAAAAACACAGACACTGGAGCCGGGCCCTGGTTGCCAGAGTGCCATAATAAACTGTACCTCAGCGGGAAAGCGGTGCCACTGCAAATTGTGAAGAGCTTGTTTTCTAAATCTTCCAAAGCCCACAGCGAGAAGATAAAGTTGGCCTGGGACACTGCATAGAGCTACAGAACTCCTCACTGAACTGAGCTTTTTTTCTCCCTTCAAGTTTTGAAGTCCTTTGTTCCATCACCAGAAAGAGAACAAGTTTCTTATTCTTGTTTCTGTTTTAACATCTGACCAATTAAATTGCTCTCAGTTGGAGTTCCCCCTGTGTTCCTTAGCGGCATGTTGGGATGTGAAGGCAGGGGTGAGGCCGAAGGGGGAGGAGAAATGCACCTTTTGGTTACAGCACATCCAGATGAGACCTTTTCTCCTACAGGAGGGAGGGGAAGGAGAAGGTTTCTCCCAGATGGACCAGCTGATTCTAGTGCAGGCCAACAGCTTGCAGAACCAAGCCACAGCAGGTCTTCAGACCTCTGCCGAGGGGAGATGCAGTGGGGCTGAAAGCCAGATGTGGTCCTGAGAAGGTGCCCAGCTTCCTGTGCTCCTGAAGCTGTTCAGGGCTAGAACAAAGCAGCCACCACGGCAAGCTCCCTGCAGGCTGCTGTCAAAAGCTGTGGCTAGCTCTTCTGGGCACTGTAACCCAGAGCAGAAAAAAAATAAAACCCTTTGATTCTCACAAATTTAATAGTGGAACACTTCAGTAAGATGCAGGTGAGAAATAACACTGACTAAGGATGATTCCTTGTTTATAATTCAGCACTGAGTAATAGCAAGTACAATTTCAAGCCAGGTATTAATGGCATTCACAGCTTATTTAAGCATTCAAGCCAGCTTTTTCAATCTAGAATTGTCCTCTTAATGACAAGACTCAGGCCTTGATTTCATTTTTATTTTGAAAGCAAGTTGGGAAAGTTTACAAAACCTGACCAAGAAAAAAATTATGAAAATATTTAACTGGATTCATCTTTGGTTACTTCTTATTGCAGTTCCAATAAAACATACACCATTTCTATAGTTCAAAAAAGTCAGAAGGTCAATCAACATAAAAACAAGACGTGCTTTCTTTACATATTCATAAATATCCGCAATATTAGAAAAGTTGTTTCGCAAAGATTTCTTTTTCTGGCAGTGTTAACTTACTATTATACACAGGCTACAAACCTCTTCCTAAGCCTTTAATTACAAGTTGAGCTATTTACAGACTGCAAAATATTAAGACGTAAAACTCCTTCATAAATACGAAAATAGATCATCTCGCAAAGGTCTTTATACTTAATCAAATATCTGGCTGCCCCTCCTCCCCAAAAAAAAAGAAAAAAAAAATCCAAACCAAAAGGTTATTTGTTTTGCATAGAAATGTAGTGACATGCAATATAAACAATAGCATTAAGTGCAAACAGGAATTATTCAAGTGTCTTTAGTTGTACTGGCAAAAAATACCAATGTTCTGTTACACATAATACGTCAATGCCTCTCCAACAAGTACGAGTCTGCTGCAGCCCCTTGGCTGAGCTGCTTTGGAAGGGCAGCAATTCACATGCACTCTCTGGGCTGCGTTTCATCAACCTGCAACCACAACGAAAATAGCTTATAACAGACATCTCAATGAATTCAATACAGAAAGATTTAAAGTGAATTTAAAACACCGGGCTCCCGTGGAGTCAAAATCACGGTAAAATCCAAGCGCAATAAAACTCTGTAAAACAAGGAGTTTGCCAACCACGTGTTCAAATTCGTGTTCATCAGCAGCTGTCAGAAAACGGCCTCCTCTGACAAAAAGCAACCTCAGGTAGGCAGAAAACCTAGGAGCAGTTACCAGGTGCAACCTAGATTCAGCTTTACACAACCTAAGGGGTGAGATGCAGCGAGATCCAACCGCATCCACACCCTTGGAAACGCTGGGTTTCAGCAACCACTCCGCTATTCTTAAAAATTACTTCTTACTCCAGTTTTGTACACGTGCCCCTTCCCATGCAGACCAAGAATCCAGGAAAGGCCTGAGCTGCTAGCCCTTGGCCTTTCTGACATCTCCACCTCAGTACAAAGAGCCAGAAAGGTCGACAGACGTGCCCAGTGCGTGTCAGCTGGTTGTGCTTAGAGCGGACATTTAAGAAAATAAACCTTTAGCCATGCTGCTTTGTAAGAGCTGCTCAGGGCAGGGAAACATCGTTAAGAACGGTGTAAGAGAAGGGATGAGGTCACTGCAATGGGTGCCACAGAAGGCAACAGGCTTCATGATGAGGTGTGAGCTGACAGCCAGGGCTCCCAGGAGCCACAGGGCAGCCAGAGGTGTGCGTGTGCTCTCTGCTGAGGCTGCAGGCTGCTCTGGGATGCTGGGCAGCTTCCCTCAGCCTGGTGATCCAAAAGTAAACTACTCATTATTGCCTTTTTTTTTTTTTTTTTGTCTGATGTCACACGCCTAAATGCATCTTGTGACAACAGAAGCTGGTGCTGAGGGTTTCCCTCCCAGAAGATTACAATTGTATCAAAGTAGTAAAAAAAAAAGAAAAAAAAAAAAAAGAAAAAAAAAGAGAAAGAAAAAGCAAGCAGGCATAAGGCAGGCAACTCTGGCAATCGAGTTCTGCTGTTTCTCTGTCCTCAAAGGAAGTTACACACAACACAGTGCCAGCTGTACAAGCTGGTCTGCACTCTGCAGACACGATACAGAATCCAGACTACTCTACAGATCAGCACCTTCAAGAGGCAGAGAGGTGTGGGCCAAAAGGGGTGATCTTAGTGAGCACAGGCATTTTCAAACTGCCAACAGCTGCCTGATCTGGATGGACTGTGCTAAGTAACTCAGCAACACTGGGTTTGTCATTGAATTCACTGCAGCCACTGCAAAGGGAGAACTGCTGCTCAGGTTAACACACGCTTCACAAGAGAGAGTCATAATTGTAACTCATGGAATAATTACCTACACCTCTGGAAAGATAAAGAACTAAGGCTTTCTCCATCCTGTCTTTTGAGATGGGAGAAGAGTAGAAATAGTCTGGCTTCCATCAGAGCCTAGCTTACATTATCTATCCGTACAAGAGAGCAGGAAGAGAGAGAGTGTAACAGGCTACCTGGATGAAATTCTGGACTCCGCTGCACCACCATCTGCTCAGCAGGCATGCAATGCACACCTCACTTAGGAATGATAATATAGGTTAAAATAAAACCCATAAAATAAAATCCCATATTGTTGGGACGGTGGTAGTGGAAAAGGGCAGGATGGTGCACAGACGTGGTCACAGAACAAGCTTTCCCCGTGCATCGCGCCCCAGAGCGGGGATCACCGATGCAGCATTAAAGCTCAGGTTGCTGCTTCTTTCACATGTACCTGCTGGTGAAGGGAAGTAAAAACAAAAAAAAAGATCAAAAAAATAAAAAGATCATGCTATTCAGTGATAGTAGAAGCCAAAAAAGGACAGCAGCTTCTTTCTGTAGGGGGAAAAAAACCAGTTAATTTGGGACAAGCTGATTTTCTTTAGTTTGACAATTCAAAGCCCTCCTGTGAGTCATCCTCTCTAAGAGCACTTGTGTGGCCACAACACTGCTGGCAACTTCCCCTGAGCAGGGCATCACTGTCCTCTGTCAAGCAGCTGGTTTTAAGTGAGGAGCCATCATTACTGCAGTGGAATCAGTGAGATGGGATGTCATACCAGAGAGGGAGGTGAATGTGACCCTGCTAGCTTAGTGGTAATAGTCAACTGTGATGTAGCTATTGTATTTAAAGATTCTGCAGAAACAGATCATGATGTTCATTCAGCTATTCAGAGATAAGAGCACACCCACCCCCCCCAAAAGAGCTCAGTACAACTGTTACTCTTAGGGGCAGTTTCTTCAGAAGCCCAGAAATCACAATGCCTGGAATACGGCTCTCTGTGCCCTGGGCAAATCTTCCTCCACGTTTGGGCTGAGGTACACGAAGAGCTGTACAAGGAAGAGAGCTTCCCTGCACTAATGCATTAAACACCATTACCAAATCCCAGGGAACAGATTCTTCTTCTTAATTGCAAAGTATTTGTCATGTGACTCGGCCTGCAGATTGTGACCAGCATGAGGGGTTTTGTTTTTGCTGCTTTTGAAAGAAGAGCTTGTTTAATGCTGCAACAGCATTCACAGCAGCTCTGGAACCAGAGAGCATTCCTATCTGCTCAACAGAGCTCTGAAAGACCTCTGTGCCTGTTTCTAAAACAGAGGCTCCGACTCACGTGCACTGCTGCAGAATGTTAATGAAAAAATCTGCAGTGGCTTAGAGCTGCTGGTCAGTCGGAGAAAGAGGGAAAACCTAAGGGTCATTCTTTCTACTCTACATGGAGCTTAAGGCCTTGAAATACTCCAGGCTGGAAATCCAGGTCAAACTGTTTATGCGGTGCCTGCTCTGGCTGCTGCCTCTTAGAAAGGCTGTGGGGCTCACATGGCCATTCTGGCTGGAGTAGTTCCCCCTCCTAATGTAAATCAGGAACGGGAATAAGCACAGTTTGAAATAAAGTTTTATAAAATAATCAGTCTCTCCAGACACTGTCTGCAGCAATCTGTTTGACAGGTAGCTCCCACCATCTGCTGAGTCTCCTTCAAATGTGAGACCCGGCACTAGAGAAAAATAGAGTTTAAGCAACTGGGAACAACTCTTTGCTCAAGGACATGTTCAGTTTGAGCCCTCTCTTCATATGTCACAAGTTGACTCTGTGCTGCCACTTGCTGAGATGTTGGAGGAGGTCTGAGGCAACAGGGCAGGACTGTCCCCATCCTGTTCCCTGAAGGGCCACGCCTCTCTCTTCAGCTCGTTGGAAGGACTAACGCTGAACAGAGGCTTTGTGGACTCTAACAGAGTAATTTTCAGTAGATCATCTTCCACCTCCATCTCTTCAGAAGGGAGACAACCTGCAAACACCTGTGAGGAGCCATGTCCCTCAGAGTTCACTGAACTCTCAACTGGGAGCTTTTTGTAAGATAGAGGCTCAGGCTGGGCCAGCACTAATGGTTGGTTACGCGCTGGAGCTCCACACGTGTTCTCAACAAGGCAAAACCCATTTTCCTCCTGGGCCACCGGCCCATCTGAACAGTCCATATCCTCCTCTTGTCCTGGTGCAAGAAGAAATTCTGGTCTGTGAGGCTTGGCGTGAAAGGGGGGGATCTCTGACACACCGTATTTGCTGCTACTCAGGAGTTTCTGCCGAACCTCCGCGCCAAGCTGGGCTGGGTCGCACCTGCCAACGGTTGAGGACAGTCCTCCAAACAGGCCATATTCCTTGTGTGGTAATTCAGGAGAGAGTGGGAGCGATCTGCATCTCCTCCCAGGAAGCAGGGAAAATTCCTGCCAGTCCGCGCTGTATGCCTGCCGGAAGTGGGACTGGCTGGCTTTCAGCCCCCCGCCTGCCTCTGGAGAGTACAAGTCAAACACGAGGGAAATCACAGACTTGCTTGGCATGTCAAAGAACTTGATCTTCCCCCCCTTGAGGTCCTCCCGGGCACTGAAGGGGTTCACTTTCCGGCCTAAGCCTTTGTTTGGTGTATAGTAGGGGTCCTGCACGTTTATCTTCCTGGAAGGCTTGCGGGAGAAGATATCCGACTGGCTGCGCGACAGCCAGATATTCCGACGTGGACGGGGTGACTTGGGTGGGATCTTGTCATCCAAGGAACTCAAACGTTTCACTCCTGGTCCTTTCTCAATTGATCCTGAGTAGAAAAAGAGAAACACTCTTAGCTTAGAGAAGCTCTACACAGAGCTGTATGTCTGCTCACTCACAGAGCCTTCACGACAGCTGTAAAGAAAAAGGCTGCATTTCTGATGTTCCAAACTATCTTCCATAAGCACGATTCTAGATTTATTGTCCTGGCTTCCAGCAGAGGTTGCCCAAGATCTGTTGGTGATACTGGCCACCAAAGAGAACAAGTACAAAACTGAGCTGCCAAAGGAACTGGGACTTTTTCACCCTGACAGAAAAAGTCTAGGATCAAAATAAATGCCCCACCTGGTACCACGCAGATTTTAAATAATTCCATCACAGGCTTCATTCAGTACATTATCCAACACAAAACTAGGGATATATGACTGTTTGACTCTCATGAATAGGAGTTTTAAAGTTGTCCATATGCATGTGTATTTGCACACACACACATACATACATATATATATATAAAATATATATATAAAAATAAAGCTGTATCACTAGAACAGGTTGGGAAAATGGTAGATGCTAACTAAGTATTTGGAACGTGCATCTGCCACTGGCTCTGAAGAGCTGTGTTAGAGCCCTAACAAATGAATATAAAGAAGTGATATCTCCTTTTGATTACCCTTTCCAGAATAAGCACATATGGATTTTCACTTTCCCCTCTAAATACTACCACAGTTTAGACTGCAGTCATTCCATGTAGGAAAGACTATAAAAATCAAAGAACAGCATGTAACACTTCCTCAAGAAGTACTTGTTTTGTACATGTACTCCAAGGGGAGAATGCCAGAAAAATGAAAAAAAGAAAAACCCAACACAAACCAAACCAAAAATCTAAACAAACAAAAACACATTTTCCTTTTTAACTGACACCTCTTTTAGATGCTTTCCAGGTGTGGGAGAACTACCATGCATTAACTCTATGTGGTTTGAACTAGAGAATAATTATTGCAACCTAAAACCATATTACAGATTGATGGCTATGCACATGTATTGCATATTTATATATACACACAACATGATAAACTGTTTTTACTGTACTCTAAGTTCCCAGTGCCAGAAGTGCACTAACATAAGAGACACCCAAGTCAGAATGTGGCCCAGGCTACCAGAGTTCACTCCCCACACCAGGTGGCACCAGACAGCCTTAGAGAAAACCTTTCAAGGCCAACATTCCCCAGCAGACCTGGGACTCATCTTTTCTCATCTTTCAGATTATTTCTAGGTACTTTCTAATACTCTTGCATCTTCTGTGCTCTTCCTCCTGAAGGAATTTAAGAAGCTTCTGAACATTACACGTAACATACACCAAAGGAATTACGTATACGTACTAAGTAGGGCAGGGATAAATAAAAAGTTGATGGATTTTCATATACTGTTAGCAATTTACAAAACCATTCCCAAATAAACTCTGAATTTCCCCTCAAGAGCTTGTGGGCAAAATCTTTTGAGGCACTTTAAGAAACAGCTGTTTTTTCCCCAAAGGACATTCTGCAGCTTAAAGTACACAGCATTGCTCCAGAATAATTTTCAAGGTTCATGTAAAATTTTTCATAAGGTGTAAATAACTGCATAAATAGCTGAAATCCCAGGTTTCGAAATACGAAGCATTGTACCCTCTTGCTGTTATCATGCAGCAATGTTTGTACAACACAAGACACTTGCCTTTTGGTTTCCTCTCACTGTTGTCAAGGTTCAAGAACTTTCTCTCTCGCTCCGAGTCCTCATTTCTCAGGCGGTTTAACATCTCCTCCAGTGTTTTGACAATATCAGCAAATGAAGGACGCAACTTTGGATCCATCTGTGAATGCACACAAATCAAATAAGCTCATGTGGGTTTGTCCATGCTATTCTGCTTACACACAGTGGACAGACAGAGGGACAATCTGAAGAAACCAAGGAAATTCAAGACTGTTGTAAGTGTGTTATCATCGCAAAGTGGCATTTCTGTCTGTTATACTTCTCACATTTAATTATCAAGTTGTAAACGTTGTATGCAGAGGATGAATTTTAAACTGACAAGGTGGGAATCGGTCAGATTCATGGTTTGTGATGGGGCTTTGTTTGTTTTGAACAGCTTGAATAGTTCAAGATTTCCTTCTGGACTCTGGTTATCAGACAGAGATTATGTACCAATGTTGCTTCAAAAGGATTACACAGAGCAACGTGGCTATGCCATTCTTTAAAGGTTTGTAATTCTTCCATCATCTCCTTGTGGCTTAAATTAAAACCCACCTAAATGGCATTGCTAAAAATGCATCTTTCCATCTGTTAATCAGCCTTACCACTTGATGTACTGGTCTGTCTTATAAGGAAGCAAGATTGGTTAATATCATTTGACCAAGTAATATATTGGGAAAAAAAAACCTCAGGTAAAATATTCCCCCTGTATCAGTTTGAATTTCTCAGTGTGTATTTAATTATTCATTCTAGCAGAAATGGAACTCTAAACAAAGTCCAACACTAAAACTGAACTGCAGGCCAAGAGTTAAATTTAAGATAGTAATTTAGAAGGCATTTCATAATTTTGAACATTGACCCTGCATATATGTTACAGGTTTAACTACTGTAGGTGTGAGTATCTAACTCAGCAGCTGAAAGTTACCTCATTACAGTAATAACAAAGTATTCTGCTTGACCCGATTCCTGTTTCCAGCCTTCTAAAGGCTTTTTCAGAGTGGGCAAGCCCAGACACATCTCACCTCTACAATGGGAACAGTGGTGCTTTGTGCACAACAAACCTCCCAGACCTCCCTCGTACTGCCCTGCAGGTCCCACGAGATGGATCTTCCTGAAAAGAACTGGTCTGATCAGCAGTGCCAGAACACCTTCCAGCAACACAGGGTGAAGGGCTAAACACTCGCACGTACGGTAATAAAAACCAACCAGACAGATCGCACTTGAAGAGCTCAAGAGCAAGCAAGAAAGTTGTTCTAATACAGCAGCTGGAATTTCCTGGCATTGGAAAACATTTTTCTGCTTTCCCTGCTTCACTGAAAGAGTAGGGCAGGGGCAACACTGAAGCACACGCTGTACTCTGACAAACTTACTAATTTGGGAGGCTTAAGGAGCTGTTGCAAGCTACAGGAAGTTAGAGGAAGTAAAAGGGGCTCTCTGGCTATTTTAATTTATGCTAGGTAAGATCCAGGACAAAGGCACCAATGGAAAAGTTACTCAGAGCAGCATTTGCCTCTTCCATCCCTGAGCAGTCCAGATTCTGCTCAAATGGAAAAAAAGATTCTTCCTCAAGGCAGAAGTTGCCCACAGCTCAGCTCGTGATGGTAAACTTTTTGCATGATCATTTATGATTATGTTTATTAAGTATTCACATAAATAGACTTATAGTTGTTGGGGAGTACCTTAGAAGGTACTCATTTAAAAAAATCCCACACTTTATAACAGCAAATTAAAGGCATTTTAATCCACTATTCATACATGTCAGTTTTTACTGGTTTTCTTACGTGCCCTAAAAAACCGTTTCCTGGCTGTAGAAAACCCCAGGGCTTTGCACATTAGTTTGCACATTAGTTCAGCTGATCAGCTGGGCTACAGAGTTTACATTTTGCTGACCTAATAAAAAGCTTTATAAATGTCCATGTCTAAGAGCAAATTATCACACCAGTCACCTATTACTGAAGCACAGCATGCTTAGGAAAATACAAGAAAGCCTTATCTGTTTATCCCCTCTTTCCTTCTACTAGGTGAGTGGTCAGTGAATTCCAGCATGGCCCATGCTGAAATCAGCATATTAATGGCTCGATCACATGAGAGTAATTTACATTTCAATTCGGGGAAGGGACATTTATTACACAAGAAGCAGCATTTGACAATAATCAGTAGGAGAAAATCCTTTTTCTCTGAGCACACCAAATTCTTACATGAGAATATAAGGTCACTGCCTCTTCCTTCATGAGCAGTTTCTCTCTGAGTTTCTGTGCTAGGAAATTGCTTTGAATCACGCACCACGTGTTTGGATGCAGTACCATTTCTGGAGCCTACAGGTGGGAGTTGATATTTCCCAAGTCAAATCCTACCTCTAGCCAAACCCTTTAGTGCTCATGTAACCAAAACACTTCATATGAGTCAGATGTACCAATGTCCTGGTGAAACAAGCTCTGCTGGATGAAGGTGAAACCAGAGGAGTGAAGTAGCTTGTCCACAGTGAAGTTCCACAAACATTTTTAGAATTAAATTATGCTCTCTGGTGTCAAGAGCAGCAGTCATGCCCCCAGTCTCACCTTTATACCGTGCTCTCCTGGAGCATGTGCATTTGCACTAATACAAAGGAGAGAGAGCTCAGGTCAAAAATAAGCATCAAGAGCACAAAGAGATGAGACTTTTCTTACAAGCACTCACACTTGGACACAGTGCTGGTAGTGGTTCCAGTATGGCCTGGTTGTGAGTCCCCAGCAAAGTTTTGTGCAATAAAATTTTTACAAGTTGCCTCAACTTAAGCTGTGCAAGTTGGACATTCCCAACTTCACCTGAATCTGGCAGGAGCTCAGGTTCTCTTATTTCATATAAACAAGCTTACTATACAATGGTACTAGCAGCTCTCTTATGGGATAACCAACAAGAGAGACCTTCCTCCTTGGAATTTTCACACTCAGGAACCACGAAGGTATCCAGAGTAGTTTAATGCCTGCTCTTGGTTTGTTTGTCCCCTCTGTTTGTGAGGGCAGCTCAGAATCCTTTCTTCACAGCTCAGTAGGTCTGTACACAATAACAGCTGCATTTTGTCAGCCCAAGGGTTACCCAGTTCCAATAGCATCCAACTGGTTATGATCAGCCTGAGCAGCCTGCAAGAAGCTGTTCAGTTCTGTTTGTTTGGCATGACAGAACACAGAATTGCAAAAACACAAGATACACCTTTTTGCAAGGGGAAGGGAAGGATTACAAAAACTCCAAGGGACTTTCTGGGTTATCAGAAGGCACTGCTGTTATAGGTAGGCTCTTCAAGCCTCTTCTGTAAATGCTTTAAGCTCTATCTTCAAAAGCCAGAGGGATTTAGAGAACTCTAGTTCAGGCCTCTCCCCTTCAAGTAAGATACTCACATTACAGCAGTTGAAGGCCAGCTGCAGGAAGTCAGGAGGACAATCTCCCACCATGTGCTGGAAGGAATCATAATCTAATCCAAAATTCTGTACAAACAAAAACACAACATAGAGATATAAATGAGGTCTGCTATCTGGCCCAAAGCATCTTCTTTTTAGGGGAACCCTACATGGAGTTATCAGGAATAACCAAGAACACCATCTCAACAACCACGTGCAGACAATTTTAAGAAACCTTCATGCACGCTCTGAACTGCAGCATTCCCAGTGGGATTACTGATACAGGATACCTGTAAGAGAATGGACTGACTTCAAAGCCCATCCTTCTTCCTGCACTCAACTGCAATCCACTGCAGTTGAAATGTTGCCTGTGTGGATCTGGAAACAATATCTTATACTGTGATGTTTCACTGTGGTGACTTTCACCGTGTGAATTAACAGCCTGCTATAAAACCAGAGACTTTGCTATGATGAAAATGTATCAGTTAAAATGGTTAACTTTTCTGTGGATGGTAGACTGGTAATACAAGTTATCCGGTTCCTATAAAATGTGAAGGCCAGAGGAGCAAAAGAATTTTACTTACTGCAGTTTGAGACCTGAGTAATTTCACATTTTCAGAACCAGAGGGAGACAGACAGCTTGGAAGAGCCCCCCCAGAGGGCCAAAAGCTGCCCTGCAGATGTGACTCAAGCAAAAGGCAATCGAAGAGAGTAAAGAAGTATCTTTGATTAGTCAATTATAGCTCAGATCCACAGTGCTTAGCAGAGTCTATGCAAAAATAAGGGTGAGCTTATTTTAGCTGCTGTTAACCCAGGTCCTTCCCCTTTCACAAGGAGGGGCTGCTTAGGGGATGCAGCGTGCCAAAAGTGAACCTGGCAAGAGGTCTGCATGAGGAATCACTCCACAAAAGGAAGAGCTGGCATTGCAGTGCTCTCAGTGTTCTGCCAGTTAGGGGCAGAAAAGAATTCCCATGAGGACCACAGCTGCACAAAGTCTCTGGGGAAGTGTCTTCAGTGGAGTTTCCTCCAATAACAGCATGGAAGAACAAAAGCCTTTTCCAGGCTATTTTTAATGCAGCACCTATTCATCCTATCTTTGGCAGCAGTGCCAGAAGTTCTAAAGGCCAGGCCTTTATCGTGGCAGACTCAGCACCTCCCACCAGCGTTATAAATGCAACACACTCACCTCTGTGCGAGGGAGATAGTCTGGATCTGCCTGTATTCTTGCTATGATCTCACACAGAATTATGCCATAGGAGAACACATCTGCCTGAGAGAGAAAAGAAAAAAATTCACAGACACGTGGTTCAGTTATGAACAGTGAGTGTTCTTATCTGCCCCAGAGTCTCTCCTCACCCCAAATGGCTATCGGGGGACACCTAAACTGGTCCCTCAGCCTTACAACACAGAGCCACTGCATTATTAGCTACCCTTTTCCACAGCCAAGAAACACATGCTCACAGTAAAGCTTTCTTGTTGCATAAACAGCAGTGATAACTTTAAAACTCTTTCAAGAATAAAAGAGAAAACCCACCAGATCACTCTTAATTCAGCACTGTAAAAACAAAACAAAACAAAACAATAATCCTTCCTTGCATAAAGGATGGTGATGTTGCATTTGATGTCCTACAGATGGGAATAATTAGCCAAAAACGTGACGTGCCTGTATATCACTGTGGTTAGAAAAATGGGTTTAGAATATGCATGATCAAAGCTCATCCAGAACATTAATGCTGTTTTTAAGAAGAATTACAGTTTTCTCTTCTCAGGGTTCAGTACCTCTGGAGAAAACAGCTTGAGATATTCAGCAGCACTGTACACCAGCCTCAATTTCCATGACGCTCAGTAATCACTTATCTGACTACCCCTGGAGCTGCACAATTCCTCAGATTTCCACCCACCTCAGTTTTTCATGAATAAAATTTAGGAAAACACGGAATACAAGTCTACAGAGCAGAAGCTTGCATCCCTCATCCCTTACATATCAGCCAGGCTTATGTTGTCACCTTTCATGCTGATTGGGGTGTAAGACCTGCTTCCTCTTTAGTCCTCCATGCCCCAGGGTGGGTGAAGAATGTGGCACCACAGATTTGGGTACTTTATTATTAATTTAGGTCGATTGTAACTCTTTAAAAAGCTTTGAAATGGTAATTATTATATTCGTTACTGAGGTAGCTACTGCTTTCCTGCAAGTTAAAAGTACCACCAATTAAATAGATTATTGACTACTAGCTAGAAAGAGGTACAAGATGTGGGTTTTATCACAGAAAAGCTACACTGGCAGGGCTGAAGTAATGGAGAGAAAATCTTGTGTACAGAAGAGCTTGATTGAAAATACTGTTTCTAAAATCCAGTGTGATCTGATCCTCCTCTGAAAGAAACATTTCCCAATGACACAAATAGGAAAACCTGCAAATACCTCTGGAGAGCATTTTTATTTTATCAAGGAATCTTACCTAAAGAAATGCTGATTTATACGTATACACACATACACACACATAATTGTACAAGTTTACAGGCAGGTTTTACTTCTACCCAGATTTCACCAGTGTATGGGAAGCAACTTCACTACATTTCTCATGAGACTTGGTTAAATGAAACTGTGTTAGGTCAACAAACCATTACCATATTTTGGCATGTGGGGTGTTCCAGAACAGAAATAGCATCACAGAGAACAATCCTAAAGCTAGTTCTATTTCCATGTAAGAATACACACCATGAATTAAAAATATTAGCTATTCAACTCTCACTCTCCCTTAGTCTGAATGACCTGAGTACAGAAATGTCACAAGTGAAAATAGCAATAGTTTTATTATTATTATTTATTATAATTCTAAATCATGCATACAGCTACTGAGGAGAAACATCTGACAACTAACATTTATATCATGTACCTACCTTTTCATTGTAGGGTTCATCTCTGAGAACTTCTGGTGCCATCCAGAAGGGTGAACCCACCACTGGTAACTTCTCACTATACAGATATGGGATAGATGGGGGAATAGGGGGAGAGGAGTGGAAGGAAAGAGAGAAGAACTATTAATTAAATGCTCAAGCATTGCTACTAACTTTCCCAATCTATTACTCACATTTTATTTCTAGTTTTTAAATGCCTGGCCACTTTGAGGAAAAAAAAAAAAAAAAAAAAGAGGTATCCATCCCTACATGTATGCTGATAAGCAACTCTGAAAATGAAGTCAGCACAGCCTGTTTGCAAACTGAATTAAAACAAAAAAGCAAAACAAAAAAAATCAAGAGTGACCAAATGAATCCTTTACTAGGCAAAACCTCAAAGTAATTAGAATAGATCCAATTTGAAAAATCTGCAGTTTCCATATGGCTGAATACTGGGGCCTTAAGAAAGACCTCCAGGCTGTCACCCAGCTGACCTTGAGGGAATACCTAGTAAAAAAAAATAAAGGCCTCTGAAGGCTTCAGGATAGCATGGCTTGCTATTAGCAAACTGAGAACAACAAAGCTGCCTTTCAGAATGGAGGTAAGACTAGATCAAACCAAAATGGTGCCTAATGCAGCAATTCTCTCAAGCTGTTTACTTCAGTAGCTACTCCAGCTATTGCTGTACTCTCAGCTTTCAAGGCATCTCAAAACTGGTTATTAAGAACAACTTAGGGCACCTGTAGTGCCTTCCTGATTTTGGGATGGGTTCATTTCAATACTGCTGAAGCTTTCAGCACCTTACAGGGTGCCCCAGGGGAGCTACAAGATCCACACTGGCTGTACTTATCAGCAGTTTGAAAATTAAGACTTTGTTGAGCTTTTACATCAACATTTCATCAACATTAACCCAAGCCTTTAGATCTCCCAAGATATGGTTTCAGGATATGTGCAGACTAAAAACTGTGCATAGCTGAGATCAACTTTTATTGTTCTCTTTGCAGTCAAAAGTGCTGGAAGGCTTTTATTTATTTTACTCAGAAGCATACACTGGAGAAAATCTGACAGCGTATTTCACACTCAGAATACTCTGAAATACACAAGTTAATATACAGAGAGAACAATGAAATCCTTGGCCTTGATCTCCCTAATGGAGGGATGACAAAAAGGACTATTTCCAGTTGTGACAATAGCTTTGACAGTCACCTGTGCATTCCTCAAATGAGTTAAGATTATAATTTCATCCTAGTAGAAGTAAAATGGTGAGCTACAGTAATTTTATAATTAATTTTACTCTTTTTTATAAATCTGGATCTTGACAACTAACCCAGATGTTAAAGGGAGTACTAGAATGCCCCTGAATGTTATTTATGAAAATGGAAAGAAGCTAGAGTTGCTTGCAATCAACAAATGACATTTATTACAAAATCATCCCAATCCAGAGTGCTAGACAGTATTTTTTGGGTTTTTTTAAACCCAAATTTCCCAAGTACCTGCTAAAAAGATCAACTGAAAAGCTTGAGTAAATCATCTGCTCATTGGAACATTTTTGAAGAATAGATGTCACCACTAAATATCAAAATGGACAGTAATTAAGGCTGGAACATTTTGGTCATCCAGCCTGCAGTTCCAGATTGAAGACTGAGGATATTTTTTGCAAAAACTGTATCAGAATGCAACAACAGCCTCAGGGATCTGGCTCTGACTGGAGCTTCTGACTTGCAGTGGCACTGCAGCTCTCTCCCCATTTTGATCAGTTCACGTACCTGTGATCAGGAATTTTCTCTGCTAAACCAAAGTCTCCCACTATTGCTGAGTATCCATTCTCATCGTGTTTTATTAAGCAGTTCTGGAAAAAGGAGAAAAGAAAACCAACAAAACAGAAGAGTTATTGTCTGGGCATGAAACCTCTGTAACGTTTGTTTTCTCTATTTTTAATCTGGAACACAACTAGAAAATATAGTTTGGAGCACATTCATTTATGAGAGCTTTTGTTTGAGAGCAACCACCCTCTTCCCCTGCCCTCCCCCTGCACAATCACATGTCTGCCAAACTTGAGATGCTGCAAACAGCTTTCCACTTAGTTAATAATCCACTTACAAACTTGCTGAGAAGCAGGTAGCCACAGGCAGCACATACCCAGCTAGGTAATAACAAGAATTGAGATGATTTAGCTCCCTTATACCCAACTATATGCAATACATGCTGTTCTCTATGACACTTTAAATTTTCTCTTCACCAATTACCTGTACCTGACCAGAATACAAGATCAGAGCAAACTCTAAATGCCTTTGTATATTTTGCTACTGAAAAGGAACTCACTGCTTTGCAGCAGCTTTTCATCAGAAAATGTAAGACAAATGTGACAAAGTTATATGCTCCTTTAAAGTCTCAAAATTCTTTATTTTACAGTGCATTTAGAAAACATGATTTAAGGGAAAAGCTGTCAGTCTTTTCCTTTCAAATGTGCCCTCCAGTGTCAGGATGGAGGGCAATTTAAGGACACACATAGATAATTCTGGGCTGGCCCATCACACACAGAGTATTATCGATTTCTTTTTGTTATTTATTTACAACTCTGAGAAATATGCTTTGACCATTCCAGCACCACACCTTTCCCCTTCACACCAAATGAATCGGTAGCTGACTCCCCTGCATTTTCTGCTGTCCTGCAATAGGTAGAACAAGACAAAATTCATTCCCTTCCCACATGCCTTGCTCTGCATCCTCCTGCAGGCAGTACAATAGCAGTGACAGGCAGCAAAACCACTGCCGGCTCCTACCGAGTGGTACCCTGCATTAATTAGCTGAACAGCAGGAATCACTTTCTGGCTTTATTGTGCTTGGATATACAAAAGCCCCTCGCTGACCCCGAGCATGAGCTTGGCTGTATAATGCAGCTACCAAGAAAAGCGAGTCCCTTGTCTAAAAGATCAAGTTCAGGTCATCACTGTTTATATTATTCAGAGACGATTGTGGCTCGGGCCATGAAGTGAGTTTCCCTCCTGCCAATTAAAAGGTTGAGGAAGCCATTCCTGGGACCACGTAAAGAAAATGCACGCCAGCCTCTCGAAACACATGCCAGGCTCCTGAGATGCAAAAGCTTTTATTTGTTTAGCATGACTCAAGTATAATAACCACAGTTAGCTTGGGGATTCATAAACATGTACCAAGTTAAACCAACTGTGCTTACCCAAAGAGCAGCAAAGCTTCTCAGTTGCGGCCTTTGTTATCTTGTATCAAAGGGGGCATTCATTGCACTCGCCTCTCTTTAAACATTTGGGCATTCTAAGTGGACTTAAAACTGAGAAGGATAAAACTTCTCTGAGAAATCTTACTCAAATGATTCAGACAAGTGGAATGTCGTTGTGTACCACACAGAAACAGGTCCGTGAGGACACCGGAGACTTTGCGGTGTTCAGGAAGGTTGATACTATTTTATGCAGAAAAGTTTCAGGTTATTTTTCTGTCACAAATTTCTCAGCAACTAAAGATGATTCTTAATTCAACGTTCTTTTAAGAAACATCTGTGATTCATAAACACTAGTTTTAAAATCTAGATTTCCTTCTTGTATTACCTTTGACTATTTACATTTTGTTCGTTTTTAGGAGCAAGACCGCAATACTTAATTTTACCATCTGGGTTTTATGGACTAGTGTTGTTCTCCAATAACCTCAGCTCTCCAAAACTTCAGGGAAACGTTTAAAACCAGACAATTGAAAGAACTACTTTCAACACAAATAAAAATCTGCAGAAACCTATCTACTGACCTAAAGATCTACGATAATTTACAAGGCTGCTTTGATACCAGAGGGAGACTTAAACTCAACATCATCCTGACAGCAAATATTCCTTCAGCTTCTTGCCAGTATCTAATCACATCCCATTAGACAGTGATACATCACCAACTGAAGACGAACAATCCCACCCCCCAACAAGCCCCAGGCAGCCTCAGCTCTCAGGTACAGCACTGAACCATTATGCAAGTAGGTTATTCCCAGATAAATCATAAATTAAGCCAATGCTGCCTGACAGCTCTGAGCTCCTTCCCCAGTAAGAGGTATTTGCCTGCAGCAAAGCCAGGCTCGCTTTCAGTGCAAGCATTTGGAGAGACCGAGCAGTGCAGACATCCCACAGGTCCTGCAGGAGAGGCCACTGCACCGGGAGAAGGCACAGGGGAAAGCCCAGGGCAACATCTGGGGCTACAAAGACTCGATCAGTTGTTCTGCTGTGGTGGGCTGCACAATGTTAAGTGATGTAAAGAAGGAAGCCAAACTGTTCTCTCTCACTAGTGGAAGCTTGTCTTTTGTTTGCACGGGAAGAAGTGCTGAGTGTGATTTTAAATCCATTAGGATATGTATTCCAGTAAAAGAGTGACTTTTTTATTCATACTGATATCAGCCACAGGCAGGTGACATGCACCAGACAATAAAATTCCAGTGTCACTACAAATGCTCACTGTAGTGAAACTAAACTGATTTAATTCAACTGGGGTAAGTTTTAACATAGCTAAGCACCAATTTCCTGGAGCCCATGTCAGTTTTCCAGCCTGCATTGCTAATTCAAGGCACAGCTGTGTGGACAGTGATGCTTCACTCTGTGCTGAGATTCTCCAAGATTCAAGGCTAACTCTCAGCACCATCGTGCTCCTCCTCCACCCCAGTGATGCCATCACACAACACTGCCCCAAACCCCCAGCACAGATAACTGAGTTACCAGAATTAAGATGCAATTCATAAATAGGTGACTGAACATGGCCCACGGTAACTGGCAGTTCACGTGCACCCACTTAAAGACATTTCCAAGAATTCACATTCTACCATCAAGGTAAATCAGGATCAAAAAGAGAGAAACCTTCATTAAAGATTAAATGGCCAAAAAGAGCTTTTGAATTTAATCTAGGGGTGGTTTCTTAGCAGGGAAAGTACAATAGTACACACTGCACTGTTTCTTCTAACAAAGTGATACTTCTCAGTTTCTTTAAAAAAAAAAAAAAGTATATCAATGTCTCGATGTGGTATGAAGAAGTTTCATTAATGGATTTTGGCACAGAAATGCAAGAGTTCAAACCCCTTGCTAGTGCAAGAGCCTCTCAAGAACTGCCTATGAAACGAAAACTCCAAGCAGTTTCACAATACAGGCTTTGAAAAAACACTTTTGACTTACTACTGTACTATTTGTATAAGCTGCAAGGCAACAAAACATGACAACCTTTTCAAGATTTCTCTTTGGACTCCTACAGACAGGGATGTTCTTTCCTCTGGCAGTTCACACAGTTTAAGAGGGCACTATTTGACTTCAGCTGGGTTCTCAAGAGTGGGTTTTTTTCCTCCAAAATAGGAACCCCATCAGTCCTTCCTGAGGCAGTCCCTTAATAGAGAAGCAAGGAGCTCTGTACATGAGCCCCAAAGAGTTAACAGAGCTGTTTATGCAGACAGATGTGAAAGAACATAAAGCCCCCTTTGTGTGTTACAGGAGCTTAACATCTGCTTTGCACAGCATAATCCTGCTAAGACAAATGCAATATTCTACTCTCCCTTTTACATAAACAAAAATGAAAATAGACTCAAGAGTTTCAGAGTTAAAAATAAATTGCTTAGATGAAGAAACCCCATAGTTTTATTTCATGGTATGACATACAAGCTAAACTCCTCAGATACTTTACTGCACTCCAGAAAATACAGGAATGCTACTGCAGTGTCATTTGCAACCTTCTGATGGCTGTTACTGAATTAAAATACTTGAAGGCCAATTGAGATGTATCAGCTATTTTTAAATAGCTACCCCCTAGGAAAAACACCACTGACAATTAAATGAATAATAGGAAGTTTACAGTACCAGATACACTTCTGAAACTATTGTGTTTAAGGGACAGGCTCCATTTGGTTCCCAAAGTACCAGTAAAAGTTTGCTGTTGTAACTATCATCAGAAATAACCATCTGTAACAGCTAATTTTTTCAGTGCCAGCCCTCCCCTGCAGTGCAAAATATCCCCACCAGAGCTTAGTGCAGCACAAAGGGGACTCTGCAATCGCAGCAGCAAGTACCAGACTCATCAGACAAAGGTGCTGTTCACTGCTCGGGGTTTACCTCGTCTTAAAGAAGCAAACAGAGTACAAGGTAGGAAGTCAGGGCACGTCACCTGCAAGCCCAAAGGCAGTGAATTTATGTTACATCAGATAATCCACAGTAATTGCTTACATGCAGGGATTCTGTCCCGTAGGAACTGAGGCTGCTCCTCTCTCAGTGGCAGAAGGCTGGGCCATTACACACTGAGAAGTGAAAGCAGATGTTGGCAGGAATACACACACAGTCATATGTGTGTATGTATCTGTGTGCCTAAAGATTAGGATTTCTTCATAGATTTTTATCATCAGTGGAGCTCACGATGTCCCCTAAAACTGCTCGCAGCCTACTACTGATTATAAAACCTTGTTTTCAATTATAAATAATTCTGCAAAACTAAAAGGCACTTGTTTGGGGGTTTGCCAGTTTGTTTTTGATCAAGAGTTTTGCTGGTGGGGTTTTAGGGAGGGGGTGTTCAGCTACAACAGCTCAGGTGATTGGGAGAACTAACTCAGAATATGTGTTGCAAACAAATTTTTAACTAATGAAAATAAAAAATCCTCAGAATATTAGCCTGTGGTATCATATCAAATTTGGCATGTTCTCAACTTGAAACACGATGAGACCTCTGTGTAAGATGCATCTTTTGCTGCAAAGACTAGACTGGGACAGGCATATCCTGCATGAGGAATTTGAGAGTGACTGAGGGGACAAGACAGAGGATGAGTCCAAGCCAGGGGCTGGCAGGGACCAAGAGCAGGGTCTTGAGCAAGGCTCCTGAG